GTTACCAGGCTTATTATCTCTCCAGGTGGAATGTCATTTTTTATACAGAATGGAATGAATTAAAGAGGATCATCACCATCAAAGAAAAAAAAATCACCAGCTACAAATAGTTTAGGTTTACATGTACCCGACACCAGTGGCATCCCGAGGCGGGTGGGAGGGGTGCGGTCTGCACCGGGTGACACCGACCGCACGGGGTGACACCGGACCCGCTCCACAAAAAGGTAAGTTGTAAAGCAAGCCGACGATCCCCACAGGATGGATCCGATCCATCCGGCGAGGATCGTCGGCTTTCTTTACAACTTACCTTTTCTTGGAGCGGGTCCGGTGTCACCCCGTATAGGTTGCATGCCGATGATCGTGCGGGGATCGTCGGCATGCAGTCTATACAGGGTGACACCGGACCCGCTCCAGGAAAAGGTAAGTTGTAAAGAAAGCTGACAATCCCCGCAGGATGGATCGGATCTGCGAATTGAGCATAATGGATAGGAGCAGGGGCGGACTGACGATTTAGAAACTCGGGCACTGCCTGAGGGCCCAGAGTCATTAGGGGGCCTCATAAGATGCCCCTGGTACCTTTTTCATAGGCTTTTTTGAGTTTGGGCAAGGACACAGGGGCCCCATGATCCCCTATTGCCCGGGGACCCCATGAGTTGTCAGTCCGCCCCTGGATAGGAGTCCGATCCATTCTGCGGGGATCGTCGGAGGGGGTGTCACCAAGTGTTACCCGCACCAGGTGACACCAACCCTAGGGACGCCTCTGCCCGGCACTGGTAGGTTTACCAAGGAAAGCAGGCTGTGACTCCTTATGGCTTCACAGCCAGCTTCCCACTGCGTATGCTGAGCTGTGCTTTGTGTATGGTCCTGCAATCTTCTGGAACCTGTGATGTATCCCTGAAGGCTGTTGGCAAAGGGGAAAGGGGGGTTATCTATCAAAACTAGGAGCCTGCTTCCCCACAAAAAAGAAAAATGTATTGTGCCAAATGTTGTGCTGGTGGGGGTAGGACATAAAGTGGAACTTCATCTTTAGGGTGCTGTTCCACTTTAAGAAAATACTGCATTATGGCCAGCAGATGGAGCTGATGATCATAATAAATAAGTATCATCAGCTCCTTCTAGTGGCCATAATGCAGTATTAACATGCTTCATTCTATATTTTATGAAGAATAACATTCGTTATGGAGAAAAAAATGGCATAATAACATTTGTTTTTTCCCCATTCTAACAGAACAAATGTATATGCAGTTGCACATGACAAATACGTATGCAAATGTTTTTAATACACCCCTAAGTGTGCCACCTTAGTAGAAGTAGTGCTTTTGCTCAGCTGCGTTTTTTTTTTTTTTTATTGTCATTATGGTGATTTCAAAAAATAACTTACATTTTACAACCGCAAGTCAAGCAGTCAGTAAAACCACACCTCAACTGCTTGTTTTAATATTTCCTGGCCACTCATGTAAAACCGGACTTAGATGGAGGTGTTTATATGAGCAAAAGGTAGCAGGACCATGTACTTACAATGAATACTGAATTTCAAAGCAAGTCTGATTACTGTACAAACAGCATATATTCGATAAAGAGTCACAGTGTATATGAATGCCATCTCATTTTTTGCTCTTGTTTCATGCTGGGTTTTTTTTTTTCCTGAGTGTGTAGGTGTATGAGCTCCTGAGTTTGAGTCATATACACTTTTACAACTTCCAACATTCTGTGCAATAAACACAAGGTGGCGAGAAGCCTTTATTACATTGCTGAGAAATGTACAGGAGGTGCTTTGCTAAGGTGCTGTCCTCTGACAATGCTGATGCTGCTTTAAGTGAACCTTCACCCTAAAATAGCAATTCCTCATTTCTGAAAAAACATAAAAAACAGCGCAAATAACATTATATGTGCAACTCATAAAATTCCAATTAATACAGAGAAAAAATTATATTAATGAAATAGTCCCACTCCAAAAAAATATAATAGAAAATATGGTGAATAGAATAAAGTCCTTGTTCCAAGACCCTTGACCAGTAAAAACTCCTTAACCACATGCAGCCCAGCCACTGTATAAATACGGCGGCAGGGCGGCACGGCTGGGCAAAAGCACGTTTTAAAACGTGCGTTTTGTAAACAAGTAGGGGGTGCGCGCGAGGCGCGCCGCTGCCCTACCTGTCCCGCTGATCACAGACGCGAATGTCAATCGCCGGGTCACAGCCGGTTGTTACCAGCTATGTCCTGGCGATCAGCGGCAATCGCTGACAGAGAGCACAGCTGCAGTAGCTGTGCTTTCTGTCAGTTCCCTGACAGCTCCAGGACAAGCTGATCAGGACAGAAGAGTTTCTCTCTCCCGATCAGCGGTGTCCCCTGCAGTACACACCCCCGCCCCCTAGTAAAAACACTCCCCTCACACAGTTAACCCTTTCCCTGAAAAATAAACTTAACCCCTTCCTCCCCAGTGCCATTAGTACAGTGTCAGTGTTTTTTTTTTTTTTGCACTGATCACTTTATTGGTTTCACTGGGGTCAGTGACCCCAAGTCAGTACCCCCCAACGTCAGAATGTCCGCCGCAGTCCCGCCATAAGTCGCTGATCGCCGCCATTATTAGTATAAAAAAAATTAAAAATCCCAGTATCTTTCCCGCCATTTGTAAACGCTATAACTTTCACGTAAACCAATTAATTTACACGTATTGGGGTTTTTTTTAGCAGAGACATGTCGCAGAATGCATTTTGGCAGAAATTTATGACTAAATTTGATTTTTTAATTTTTTTTTTACTGGACATGTTTTATAGCAAAAAAAGTCCAAAATATTTTTTTTTTTCCTCATAATTGTCAGCCTTTTTTTTTTATAGCGCAAAAAATAAAAAAGCGCACAGGTGATCAAATACCACCAAAAGAAAGCTCAATTTGTGGGAAAAAAAAAGGATGTCAATTTCATTTATGTACCGTATTGCAGGACCGTGCAATTGTCTGTTAAACTAGTGCAGCGCTGTATAGCAAAAAAATGGCGTAAATTGCAGTATCTATACCATAGTTTGTAGACGCTATAACTTCCACACAAAGCAATCAATATACACTCATTGGGATTTTTTTTTACCAAAAACATGGAGCAGAATACATTTTGGCCTAAATTTATAACCAACTTTGAGTTTACTATATATTTTTTATAGCTGAAAGTAAAAAATATTGTTTTTCTTCAAAATTTTTGGCCTTTTTTTGTTTATAGCGTGAAAAATAAAAAGCGCACAGGTGATCAAATATACCCCCGAAAGAAAGCTCTATTTGTGTGAAAAAAAGGACGTAAATTTCGTTTGGATGCAGCATTGCATGACCGTGCAATTATCAGTTGAATTAGTGCAGCGCCGAGTAGCAAAGAGAGGCCTGGTCATTAAGGGGGGTAAATCCTCTGGAGGTCAAGTGGTTAAATTTGGACTCAGGAATCCTAGATCCCCTCGAATCAGCCTCCAATCTCCAGGTATAGATAGAAATCCCCCAATTGTAGGTAAGACAAAATGCCTCAGGACTCCAAACTGTACTTTGAATCAGCCTCCAACCTCCAGGAACACTAGAGATCACTCACCATAGGAAGATAATTTGTGCAGAGAAAAAAAAAAATAATAATAATATATATATATATAGTGTAATACTGTAAGACTCCAACAGGATGAATTCAAATACCAAACCACTCACATCTTAAAAGAATGTAATCAGCATTTATTATATCTGGAGCCAAATCGCCACATAAAGATCTCACAGTCAGCGATAGATAACCTGTGTAAACATGGTTGATTCCTCCCTCTAGCAAAGATGGCCCCTGAGAGCGCCGCACACCGGCGTGCGCTCCACTCACTGGAAGTGACATGGTACGTTGGATGGCGAAGCCAGAAGTCAACGCGTTTTGCCCCTCCTCCAGGGCGTTTTCACAGACTCAGAAAATGTTTTCTCTGTATTAATTGGAATTTTATGAGTTGCACATATAATATTATTTGCACTGTTTTTTATGTTTTTTTTCTGTATTTTATTAGTGTTTTATTTATCAATAAAGGAGCAGCAATGTATATATATATATATTTTTATTTATTTATTGGGGGGGGGATTATTTCACAATTTATTTTGGCACTGGTGATTCTTTGTTTATTAATTCCTCATTTCTATCTCATTCCCTGTCCCTCATACACAATTGGAAAGAAAAAAAAAATGTTTAACATGAAATACCTTTTTTAATTATTATTATTATATTTATATATGGGTAGCACAGGGGATAAGTGGTTAGCACTTCTGCCTGGCAGTACTAGGGTTGTTGGTTTGAATGCCAACCACGGCACCAACTACCTGGAGTTTGCATGTTCTCCCTGTGCCTGTATGGGTTTCCTCCAGGTACTCGGGTTTCCTCCCACAATCCAAAGACATGCTGGTAAGGTAATAGGTTGCTGTCTAAATTATCCCTAGTATGTGTATGTATGAATGTGAGTTAGGGACCTTAGATTGTACGCCCCTTGAGGGTTAGGGACTGATGTGAACGTACAAAATACATATACACACACACGTAAATTGCTGCATAACGTGATGGCTCTATATAAGTACTTATAATATGGAAGCACTCCCTGAATCCTTGCCTAGATGAGGATGACAAATCATCCAACCCGTTTCCTCCTGTGATGTTTCTGTCACATCCCAGGAGGCATGATTTTGGGGTTTAGTCTTTGGTCACACCGAATCTGACTTTGAAATCGTGCGAATTCAAGTGAAGTTGCACGATTTCAAAGTCGGATGTCAGTCCGACTTCAGGTGTGACTTAGAAGACATCTGTGTGACTTCATGCACAGATGGCTATGCAAGTCGCACCCGAACTTACAAAAAGTAGTGCATGAAGTACTGTCAAAATCGGTGCGAATCAGATGAAGTCAGAATCGCACCGATCTGACCGCTTCCATTGCGGATAATAGGATGCGACTTATGCAACTATCGAATCGCATGGCAAGTGGCACTGGCGTGACCGGGGACTAAGAGTGTTACTAAACCCTCAACAGTAAAATCAGTCTGTATATGCAGTAAAGCATGCTTGTTATACTCACTATGGAACTTAAGGGGTTAATCCTCTGCAATGTGTAAAACCGCTGTTTGAGCCTGTGTTCTCTGATCCTCCCCTTCTTATCTGCTGATAAGACGTATCGTGTGACACTCTGCACATGCTCAGTTTGGTGTGTATTGCTAAAGAGGTTTTTTTTTTTCTTGGGGGAGTGCATATGATCAGAACAGGGCCAAGCAGCACTGTCCAGACAGAGGTCAGGGGTTCTGCATCCTCCTACAGCAGAAAGAAAACTCCTTCTACAAGCTTTAACCAGTTCTCTGCTGAACACTGAAAGAAGTCACAAGACTGCTCTACTTGCTGATGGGAAAAGGTATTTAGCAGTTTATATTTACTAAAATAATTGCATTTCCATGTTCTGTGGGAGACCAGATATAGTGGATGCAGGGTCCTGGGTTTAGCAACACTTTAAGGCTGCATTCCACACTTGAGTGATTTGTAGCTGGAAGCTCTAAAAATGCTCAAACTTAAAAAAAATCGATTGTTCTCTATGGTGCCTGTTCACAGGATCAGGTGTGAACAGGCACCATAGAGAACAATTGATTTTTTTTAAGACTGAGCTTTTTTGGAGCATCCAGCTACAAAACACTCAAGTGTGGAATGCAGCCTTAAAGACTATACAATTTTCTGTCCAATTTCCTTTAGATTTACCTTCAACTATGTAGTGCAAGGGCCTGCCTAATTGGATACAATTGAAAGTGTTAGGTTTAATGTCCTATTATATGGTTTTTGGCAAATCTAAAGCAAAATTCTCAAGAAAATTGTATATTGTATGGCCAGCCTAAGCTTTGACAAGTTTTAGTAATTCAACCCCTATGTGTCTGCACATGCTCTAAGGCTGGCCATACAATATACAATTTTCTTGAGATTTTTGTTTTAGAAACCATATAAATAGGAGGTCAAATCTAAACAATTTTCAATTGTATACAATTAGGCAGGCCCTTGCACTACATAGTGGCAAGTAAATCTAAAGGAAATTAGCAGAAAATTGTATAGTGTATGGCCAGCCTTAGGCTGCATTCACACTTGAGTGTTTTGTAGCTGGATGCTCCAAAAAAGCTCAGTCTTTAAAAAATCAATTGTTCTCTATGGTGCCTGTTCACACCTGATCCTGTGAACAGGCACCATAGAGAACAATTGATTTTTTTAAGTTTGAGCGTTTTTGGAGCTTCCAGCTAAAAATTGTATAGTGTATGGCCAGCCTTAATTGAAAAAGCTGAAGTTAGAAGCTGATTGGCTACCATGCACAGTTGCACCAGATTGTGCACTCTCCCGTTTTAGCAGATCAACCCCAGAGCTTCCCTATGCAAGCTGAGATTGCTGCAGGTCATTGCCAGTTTCTAGGTACTGGAAGAGGAGTGCAGCAGTCTAAGCATGTGCAGACTTGCCGTGGGTGTCTGTCAGGTCTGTTGGACTCGTGGTGTACTTGAGCATGCACCAGTTATGGTTTCAAAATGGCTATGCTGGAGCAGAGCAACAAAGAACTTTAAGCTGGAAGGAGGACAACGCTAGACTCCATGGACTTGGAAGTAAAGTTTATTTTATATAAAGGAACAAATATCAGGGACAAGTTAAACATTTTAGCTAGGTAGGGTGAAATACCTCGTTAAAGAGGACCTGAATTCTGAAAGATGTGCCAAAAAGGCTGGGAAAGGGTTAAGAACTAGTGCCCAGTTATGTCCCCTTGCTGCTGGTTTCTTTCTTGTTACTGACTTGCCATGCCGTGTTCCCCACTAGGTGGAGGTGACCATCTTGGTAAAAGCAGGGCTCATTAACTCCTGATGACTGGTGATCTGACAAATAGTGGAGTAATAATCAAGGAAGACAGATGGGGAAAGTGTGGATCTACTAATTGAACAACATAGAAGCAGGGAGAATTTTGCACTGTAGATTGTCAGATACAACTTCCTCTTCAGCAAGGAGAACATCACCAAATTTCACCCCAAATCTTGTGAGACTGGCAGTGCCGAGATATCAGTCCCTCTGATAATCTCACACTGCATGTATACAGGTATGAGTCTGCAGAACTGGTGTGCAGGCACAGTCTCATACCAGAACAGGCACTGCACTTGTGCAGGAGGAATTCATGGCAAAGAGTAGAGTTTGCAGGCCACTGCTGAGGCACAACTATCATTTCTAAATGTTTCCTTTAAGATGGCTAATTTTTACTTCGTGAGTTTAGGTCCACTTCACTCTATTACAAACGGTTATCTGACACTCGATTGATCAGAAGCGTTTGATAAAATTCTGCCACAGCCGATCGACTTACCAACGTCAAAATCGCAAGCTTTATAAATCGGTCAAATAGATGGGGTTATTCTTTCATTTTGATCATTTTAGTTGAATAATCATATCAATATGTGTATGGCCACCTAAAGGACATTATAAAAGGCAAGCATTCCACATTGTCCATTACTTTAAAGTGCTACTAAACCCAGAACAGTAAAATCAGTCTGTATACCCAGGAAAGCATGCTTGTTTTACTCACTGTGGAACGTGAGAGGTTGGCAGTGTGTAAAAAGGATGTTTGATCCTGTTTTCTCTGATCCTCCTCTTCTTCCACATTTCCCATTTAATCTCCTGATAGAACACAACTTTGGGGACACTGTGCATGTTCAGTTTGGTGTGTACTGCTAGAGAGTTTTTTTCTTTTTCTTGGGAGGGTGCTTGTGATCATCACAGGGCCAATCAGCACTTTCCAGCCAGAAGGTCAGGGGTTATGCAGCCTCATAGGACAGTCAGAGGAGAATGAAAACTCCTCCTACAAAAATTAACCAGTGCTTTGCTGGACATTGATAGAAGTCACAAGACTGCTCTAACTGCTGATGAGAAAAGGTATTTAGCAGTTTATATTTACTAAAATAATTGCACTTCCATGTTCTGTGTACTGTGGGAGACCAGATATAATGAATGCAGGGTCCTGGGTTTTTTTAGAATATGGAATCCTGATGTATCTGTGCTGAGGGAAATTCATCTACAATCCTAAACCTTGTCTTTTTAAACAACATTAACAGTAATCTGCGGTATTAGGAGTAGCTGTTGTAGAGTCATATGAAAAATCCATTTACCATGAACAAGTACATTACCAGTCCCCAGGGAGATGTAGAGAGCTATAAGTACATATTACGTCTGGAACTTGGTGTGTCATATTCTGAGAAATGCAGCTTTAAAGAGAAGTTCCAGGGAACAAGTGAAATCATCTAGTCAATTGGTAAGGCTATCTAATCAGAAAGTCCACTATTTTTGTTTCATATCAAAATATTTTTTTTATTCTGTGTAGAAAGTCAATTCTAGTGTCACAATTCGTTTAAAATGATGCAACAATCAAAATACGTTAGGACCAATTATATAAAAGCAACTACAAAAAGATGGCTCAGCAACATCCAGCCAATACCATGAATTCCTGAAGAAGTTTGCTAAAAAGATACCTCAAGAGGAAGTGAAAGTTGTTGCAATGATGGATTAAGAAATCAATGCAAAGCTTTGTATTATTTTTTTTCCTTGGTTTACAGCAGTATTAAACTCCTGGAGTTTTAACACAGAGCTCCACCCAAAAGGGGGAATTCCACTTTAAGGCCTCATTCCCCACTCTCCCTTAAGAATTGGCACCTTTTGGGGAGCGGTAACTGATTTTGAGAGGTACCCGCTGCATTCACCTAGGTCAGGGGTAGGCAACCTACGGCTCTCCAGCTGTTGCAGGACTACAAGTTCCATCATGCCTCTGCAAGTCATAGCTGTAACAGTTCCATCATGCCTCTGCAAGTCATAGCTGTAACTGTCAATTTTGCAATGTCTCATGGGAAATGTAGTTCCACAACAGCTAGAGAGCCACTGGTTGCCTACCCCTGACCTAGGTGATCGGAAGCGGAAGTTGTCCTATGCCCCTCCCTCCCCGTAGTCTTCTAGGACTGTGGGCTCATTCACAAGGTGCAGAGCTGATTGCGCATGCGCAGTGGGCACCCAGCTGTGAAGCTGCAAGCTGTCACAGCCTGGTGCCTACATTTAAGATGCTGGTGCCAGGGAGAGAAGACAGAAAACTGGCTGCAGTGATGACACCATGGGATTGAGGGACAGTTGGCGCCTCCTTCTCTTTTTACTGTCATTTAGAGTTGGCAACACTCTATAGCAGGGGTCTCCAAACTTTGGCCCAGGAGCCAGATGTGGCCCTTTGCTTGCTTTTATTCAGCCCTTGGGGGACCATTTCATCCCCAACAATAGGTATAATTTCCTCCAAAGACACCAATAAAGGGGTACAATTCTTCCCAATGACACCAACAATGGGGCCAAAATGACACCAATGATTATGGGCATAATTTCCTCCATGGACACCAGTGGACACCTTACCAATGTGAAGGGGCACAATTTCTTACCAATGACTCCAACAATGGGGCCATTTGACACCAATGATTAGGGGCATAGTTTCCTTCAAGGACACCAATGAAGGGGCACAATTTTTCCCAGTGACACCAACAATGGGGCCAATTGACACCAATGATTAGGGGCATAATTTCCTTCAAGGACACCAATGAAGGGGCATAATTATTCCCAATGACACCAACAATGGGGCCAATTAACACCAATGATTAGGGGTATAATTTCCTTCAAGGACACCAATGAAGGGGCACAATTCTTCCCAATGACACCAATGATTAGGCAGAATTCCTCCCAATGACACCACTGATTGTGTGCCCTTCCTGCCACTGACATCAGGACGTTTTCTACTCCCAATGGCCAGTCTGGTCCTCCTAAAGTCTAAAGGACAGTAAACTAGCCCTTTGTTTAGAAAGTGTGGAGACCTCTGCTCTATAGGAAGGCAGCCACTACCTTCAGCATTCCAAGGACACCAATCATCCTTTATGGACCCTCTGGTTCATGGCTCTATAGCGCTCCTACGGCAGTGTCCTTATTATGATTGACTTTTTACATTCTGGATAACACAGCTCTATGCGCCAGTATTATATTATCTGTGTGTCTATGGATGCACACAGTGTAGGGAGACAATTCTATCCCCTGCATAAAAGGGGAACTCCATGGGATGCTGCAAGAGAAAAAGAGCCACCCTGAAGCAAGAAACCTGGCTCATTGCGCCAGCTTAAACTGAAACATAGGCAAGGGATAAAAGATAAAAAAAGAAGCTGCATATTCAGTAACTGGTTTAATCAGCTGCTGAAAGTGCTCAAAAAAACTGAGCATATAATATCACTTCAAGTAGAGTACTTGTACACGATTCCCACACCTCAAAAACGTTGTGATAATTGTTCCTGCATATTGTGGCAGTGCGGTATCCTGCCACGGTGGAAATTACTGTGTTGACCCAGGATCCTCAACCATACAGGTTGAGGGGCTCCAGGCAGTTCTCATATTGCAGAGGAAACTGGTTTATCAGTTTCCTCTTTGGTTTGTAAAGCCTGTTTTGGGACCTGTAGCCTGGAGATTTCTAAGAGATTTGGTAGGGATGAAATCTCCAATTCTGGGTCCATGTTTTGAGAGCAGCCAGCGGGCTGATTGCACAGGTGTGTGCAGGCCTTTTTGTGGAGGCCAGGCCATGATTCTGGGCTCCACCCCGGCAGACAGGAGTCAGGAGGGCTCCACCCCGGCAGACAGGAGTCAGGAGGACCACCCCGGCAGACAGGAGTCAGGAGGGCTCCACCCCGGCAGACAGGAGGTCTCTGCCTTGGAGTCAGGAGGGCTCCACCCCATCAGACAGGAGGTCTCTGCCTTGGAGTCAGGAGGGCTCCACCCCATCAGATAGGAGGTCTCTGCCTTGGAGTCAGGAGGGCTCCACCCCGGCAGACGGGAGTCAGGAGGGATCCACCCCGGCAGACGGGAGGTCTCTGCCTTGGAGTCAGGAGGGCTCCACCAAGGAGAGGTGGAAGCCAGACTAGTTGTGTGCTAGAGGTTTGCTGTGTGCAAAAACAACCTTTTGGAAGGAGTCTGTAGGAGACAGACATAAAGCGATATACCTGAAATGAGAGCCAGAAGGCGGAATATTGTTTCATTTGTTTGGTGGATACCCCTGCATGGGAAGCATTTATGGAATTTTTTCTTATAAAATAAAATTGGGCAAAAAGGCCCTTAAAAAGAAGCGAGTTGCTGTGTGCTTTAAAAAGAAAAGCTCTACCATTTTGATGCGAGTTCCCACAATATAAAAGAGGAACATCCATTTACCCAACATACAGTTAGGGTTGTATTTATAATAACTAGAATAGCTATTCATCCAGCAAAACTGCATTTGTTCTGTGCAAACCTACCAGCTGTGAGAGTAGGCTAAAATCAAATATTGTTAGACTATTTTCTCTTCTGGTTGAATGTTCTTCAGATGTTATGAGCAGTAGCAGGGCCGTTGCTTCCTAGGCAAACTAGGGAGCTGCCTAGGGTGCACTGCCACCAAGGGACACCTGGGTGCAGCACAGGCCGACACTGTGTGGGACACCACCGCATCATGAATGATCCATCAGCCAAGAGCAGGGGAGGAAGAAAGGACAGAGGAAGATGCTGGATGTCTGGGGCCAGCGTAGCAGCTGAGCTGCCACTCCTTCCAGTGTTACTCTCAGACTCAGTCCCTTACTGCAAGACGGCTGGCGGCTGCTGATCACTGAGTTCCAGCCCTTCTCTTCCCTTCCTCAGTGGAGGTGGAGCTGCACCTGAGGAGGAAGGGAATGTCTGGCTCTGAGGTCTCATGTCTGTGTGAGTGTGACCTGGTTGGCCATCAATCACATGTGCAATGTGTCAGTGAGTGATGACATCCTACAGCCTGCTCTTTTAGTGCCTGCTGATCTGTGTCAGTGTGTTGTGTGAGATTTGTCACTGTGTGGGATCGGGGTGTGTGTGTGTGTGGGGGGGGGGGGGGGCGTCACAGTGTTTTATCTCCCCCCCATTGCCTGGGGAATTCCAGCCTGGGGTCAGAGCTAATTTATGGCACTTATTTTTGTACATTAAAAGAAATTTAGCAGTTTCATGTTTTGTTGATTTAATATTTTCAGGGGTGCATGTAGCTGATCTTGCCTAGGGCACCAAATAGTCTAGCACCAGTCCTGAGCAGTAGTAAACATGGGTTCATAGTGAACATAGAGGGAATCTGGAAAATACTGCATTACGGCCAATAGCTGGGACACATGAAAAAAGAAACATCTTAGTAAGATACAATGAAACAATGCTAAAGAACACCGAAGGGAATTAGCAAATACTGTAAATGTAAGCATTGATACTACTGGATCTCTGTTCAATTGCCAATTCCTGCCAGTGCTTTCCAGAATTGTTACATTGTACTGTACCTCTTACTGAGATATATTTATTTCATATAATCCTCATCTCCAGTCAGAGGACAGAGTGTGGTATTTTCCCAATTAATTCTATGCCCAATATGAATGAACCTATCCTTACTCCTGCATATATTTGAAGAACATTTGACCAGAAGAGAAAATATCTTGGAAACATTTGATCTGGTCCCATTCTCAATGGTTGGTTAGTTAGCACATTATAAATGGACTGCTGTAATTTAAAGTGTTACTAAACCCACAGCTGTAAAATCAGTCTTTATATGTAGTAAAGCATACTTGTTATACTCACTGTGCAACCTAAGGGGGTAATCCTCTGCATTGTATAAAAAGGATGATCCCATCTGCTCTGATCCTCCTACTGTCCCCAATCCATCTGCTGATAGAACAGAGCCTTTGAGGCAGTTCTCAGTTTGGTGTGTATTGCTAGTTTTTTTTTTTTTGGGGGGG